CAGAAGGTGCCACATGGCAACAGGGAGCTAGGGCACACCTTCCTGAGGAAAACAGCCTGCTGGTTTCAAACACTTGGCGAGTCATTACCATCACATGGTCATGGAGGGAAGGAAGGGCGCTCAGAGGTGCTTGTTGGGGATAGCAGGCCGGGCCCTGACTTCAGTCTGCATTGGAATCACCTTGTGGAACATCTGTGTGGCCATAGCACATAAAAATGTTTTCCTTCTGGCAGCCACTTTTATAAGAATGTAATAATATATGTGTTGCAAAAATAGTTCTGTTTTTGGTGGGTCAGCATTGCCAGCGTGCTGACCCTGCCCAGGTGTGAAGGGGAGTCGGCAGGGGGTGTGGGCAGGGAGGCTGTGGAAACATGTCTGTGTGCGCCAGGATCTCTCCGCATCCCCCAGCCCACTGTCTTCCTTCCTCCACCAGCTCCTGCCCGGCCTTTCACTGGGGCTTAAATTCCCTGTGGTCTCCGAGGGAGTCAGTTCTGCTCCTGAGGAAGGCACCGCAGATTGGAAAGACGGAGCCTTCTTGCTCTCTCTCCCTCCACCACCCCACAAACCTCTTTTACCTCTGAGTATCCAGTGGTTTTAGCCTTCCTGTGTTGGAAGGTGGCTCTTCATTCCGAAGCACAAAGATAATAACCAGGAGGTTGAATTGGTCCAGAGCCCTTGGCCAGCAGTCCTGGCCTCTTTGGGCCTTGAGTTCTCATTTAAAATAGCACCCTCAGTGAGCTCAGAGCCTTCATCCCTTCCCTGGGGTTGCCAGGTATCTGTGCTCTGCATGGAGCTGGGGAGGAGGAGGACTGTCATTTGCTGGAAGGACATAATTCATTCGGATCCGACCCCTCAGGCCTCTCCCTGCTCAGCAAGCAGCTCTCCGAGCGGCCCTCAGTCTGGGCCCAGTAACCATTGCCATGTGGCGAGAGAGCACACAGTCCCAGTGTGCTGGCGTACAAAATCCCTGTTAAAAATGGGTGGATGGAGTACCCTCCTTCCTCTTGAGTCTGTGCCACAACTCCTGTTCATCATATACACAGACCAGTTTTCTTGGCAACAGGGTTTTAGTAAGGGAGGAGGATGTTCTAGCAAACGCTGCAGTTCTGCCTAGGGTGAAGTGTTTACTAGTGCTGAAAAGGTGGGGAATAGCCATTGTTGCAGGCTCATGGCACGCCCACTACTCCTGTTACGTGGTGAACCATCCCTTGGAGTGTGAGGATCAAAACTCCCCAGGACCACCCACCTCCAGGTGCCCTCTCCACAGCAGGAGTCGCCGAAGAATGCCTGGAAAAATTCAGGGCCCAGGGCTGGGGGGACAGAGAAGGCTGGCTATTCCAGCATTTCTCTCCCTGTCTTGCATTTGATCAGCCTTCAGTAAAACCAGACCTCTTTGTTCTGCAGTGCTTTAGTCTGGCAGGGCCTTGGGAGGCCATGGATTCCAGACTGTCCCTCTAACCCAGATCCAACTTGTGGAACCTTTGACACGGGGCCACCCCGTTTCTCCTAGATCTTTCCAGTGACCTGGAGCTCATTGCTGTATGAACAGGTGCCTTTTGTGGACCGACCTCTCTGTTAGAACATGCCGAGCCCAAGTCAGGAATCCTGTGATACCCCGTGACGTCTCTCATCCCCCGAGGCTCACTGCTCCCTCTGCAGTGATGTAGATTAGATTAGGTCTGCGCCCCTGCCAGACAGCAGGCTCCAGAGTCGGCTAGGGTCTCCTGAGTCTCCCCTCCATAGACTTCAGTATCCCCAGTTCTTTCCCATTTCCTGGGATCAAGGTGGGTTAACAGAAGCTCGTCCACCGCTCTTTAACGCCTAGCACCCTGCACTGAGCCCAGCTCTGCAGATGTGGCTGGGCCAGCGCAGAGCAGAAGCAAAGTCGTTGCTTCCCGAGCAAGTAATGGAGCCCTGCCACTGCAGCTCTTCTTCCTATGATGGGGGTGAGAATCCTGCCCCACGACTGGGCGCTAGTCATGGTTTCATTTGTGTACCCTAACGTTGCATTAAAGCTGTGGTAGCAGCCACATCAGTCTTGTCAAGCTTGAAGTCATCTAAAAACCACAAGTTTCTTTCACAGGAACTGCTTGCAAGTCAGCTGTCCCTCCTTTTATGCTCAGTGAGATTAATGTTTGAGCCGAAGTATCTAGTTTGCATTCGCCCAGGTAACTGGAATCAGCATACTGTAGTAGGAACAGCAGAGGTGTTGGAGTCTACCAGGGCTATGTGATCAGGGAAGACTACTTGGAATCTCTACGCTTCAGCTTCCTTGGTTGTAAAATAGGGTTCTTAACAAGATTAAATGGAATAAGGTGACTGCCACCTGGCAGGCACTCCATACGTGGTAGCTGCTATTGTGCTGGACACTAACCCATGTTTTTGACCTTCTGATCATTTTGACCCTTGATGCTGTCAAGAGAATGTTGATAAGCCAGGTCAGCTTGCCTTCATTTGAGTCCTAGACAGACAGGTTGGCCAAGGCCAAGTAGAGAATCCTGCAGGATATACAGAGCCCCTGGTAGCAGAGGATCCATCCGTCTGAGTGGGCCATTTTTTTTTTTTTTTTAATTGTTGTAATTAAATGAAGTTTACATTTCAAGGTAGTCTCCCATACAAAATTTTTTTTTACATGCATTGTTATGAGACCCTAATTGCTCACCCTGTTCTGCGACAGCACACTCCTTTCCGCCCGTGATTCCCCATGATCATTCAACTGGCTCCTAACTCTCTGCCTTCCCATCTCACCTCTGGACAGAAGCTGCCCCTTTGTTCTCTTGTATCTACTTGACTAAGAGTCACACTCTTCACGAGTATCATTTTATGCCCCACAGTCCAGTCTAATCCCTGTCTGAAGAGTTGGCCTCGGAAGTTATTTTAGTTCTGGGCTGATAGAGAGTCCAGGGGCCAGGCTTTCCGGGGCGCCTCCAGTCTCAGTCAGACCATTAAGTCTGGTCTTCTTACTAGAATTGAGTGAGTTCTGCAGCCCATCCTTCTACTGCTCCATCAGGGACCCAATGCTGTGTTCCCTGTCAGGACGTTCATTGGTAGCCGGTCACCATCTAGTTCTTCTGGTCTGAGGCTGATGAAGTCTCTGGTTTATGTGGCCCATTCTGTCTCTTGGGCTAATACTTTCCTTGTGTCTTTGGTGTTCTTCGTTCTCCTGTACTCCAAGTGGTTGGGACCAATTGATGCATCTTAGATGGCCGCTTACAAGCGTTTAAGACCCCAGACGCCACTCACCAAAGTAGGATGCAGAACATTGTCTTAATAAGCTTTGTTATGCCAATTGACCTAGATGCTGAGCGGGCCATTGTTTAGCCTCACATCCCAGCACAGCCACAGAGTATTAGAAGGGAACCTGTCACAATGATGTTATCTAAGTATTTTTCTGTTCTTCCAGCCCAGCATCCCTATCAAAGTAGGAAGTTAGAGCTTCTTCACAGTGAGCCCACACTGGCTCCTGGGGATTTCCGATTTTAAAATGTGCCATCAGATGATTTCTAACAGTCCTGTCAGAAACTGTTACCTGTGTCAGTGTCAAACTAGAGGGTAGTGTCCAGACTCTTATCTTCCTCCTGCTCTGAAAGTGGGGTCCGCCTGTGCCCTCCTGTAGTGTCTGGTACCGCTAAGCATACTTTGGTTTTTCAAGGATCTGATTTATCTGGCCCTGGAAGCTCAGTCATTTAAAGTGACTTGGTCTCTCCTGCTATTGATGTGCCCATTTTTGGCTTCTGCTCCCTCTTAACTGGGTCTATTCTACTTTTCCCGGTCTGAAAACCATTCTCCTTGATAGAAAAGACAAGTAACACTAGTGAGAAGCAGCAGAGGCCTGCAGCCTCTGAGCATGCATTGCCCACCCCAAGCTTCTGCCCTCTTCTTCTTGCTCTGAAGAGAGTTCCCCTCCCACCTTTTCTTTTTTTTTTTTTTTTCCACTAGCCTGAATGCATTTTGAGCTCCAGCCTTCCTGTTCTGATCTTTTCATCCTGTTTTTCGACTACATATTTCAGCTTCCATATTATAACAGTAGTAATAGTGGCTCCATGTTTCTGGTTTCAGGTCAGTAACATTGAGCATTCATGTACTTAGTATTCTGCTAGGCATCCTGTGGGCTGTAACACAGGTAAGTATGTCCCTAAGGAATTTATAATCTTATGGGGGAAATAAGGCTTGTGTCAGGAAGCGTCATTTGCTCCCTCCCTCCCTGCCTCCTTTTAAGTCTTGATTGTCAGGCCAGGATGGACTCTGCCTGGGCTTAGGAGGAAGAGATTAAAGACTCGAATTGCTGGGTCCCCGCCTCCTCCAAAACCCCACGGCATTGTAATTTCAGATTCCCCACAGGACCTGACCAATCCCAAAACCTCACAGAGTGGGAAGAATCCACTATGGCTCTGATGGAAGAAAGGGTTTGACCCATGTTCTGCCATTACTACCTGGGCCACCTTGGACAGGTTAACCTCACCTCTCTGGGCCTCAGAGTCCTCTGTCGACTGGGGTTGTCAGTCCTTGCCTGTAGGCCCTCAGACACACTGTCCGTAGCTCCTGTACACGAGACGCTCAAGGTGCAGGAGCCACATGGCACATTGGAGGCCTCACCTGTGGTGTTGAGCCTCAGTTCAGGACAGGCGTCCTGTGCCTGTGCGCAGTGGTATGAAGACAAACCAAGTGGGCTGTCTCCGCTGGGTGCTGGACGAGCCAGCACCTGGCAAGGTGGTCAGCTCTGCCCTCCCTGCTGGGGGCCGGAGGGGGCATGTTCATCAAGGGCAGCAGATACTCCTGGGCATGAGGCCTCTGGGATCCTGCTGGATCCCTGGCTGTTTGTGCTTCAGTCCCCCAGCCCCGGGCAAGTGGCCCTCTGATACCTGCAGCTGGCTCCCCAGAGCTGCCAGCAGGAACAGCAGACTCTTTGCAGGCAGCAGCCAGGACTGTACTGTGGCAGAGGCCGCTGTCCTCCAAAGCTCCAGCACACTGACTTGGAGGTACGTTTGTGTCATTTGCAGATGGAGAAGGATGAAACTGTGAGCGACTCCTCCCCACACATAGCCAACATCGGGCGCCTGGTAGAGGTGAGTGGCCTTCTGGGCTCTCTGGGCCCCAGTTCATTCCTGCGTCCACCCACAGCGTGTGCCATTTTGTCCCTGAAGCCCATTTGCCGGCTTGCTGGCCCTCACCGCTGCTGTTTTCTCTAGCTCCATAGCAGCCAGTGGGAACCCTGGTGGCATAGTGGTTAAGAGCTATGGCTGCTAACTAAAAGGTCAGCAGTTTGAATCCACCAGGTGCTCCTTGGAAACCCTATGGGGCAGTTCTGCTCTGTCATATAGGGTCACTATGAGTTGGAATCAGCTAGACAGCAGTGGGTTTTTGTAGCAGCCAGCAGAGCACTTCTCACTTTTTGCTCTGCCTCCAGTTTCCTGACCCCTCTGATGCGGATGATGCAAGCAGGGCTCCAGACCCCAAAGGCACCCTTTTCCACCCCTGCCCCCCTGCACGCTCCCGGAAGACTCCACTTGGCTGTTGCTCTGGGAAGTGCAAAGTCCTGTCTCCCCTAGTCAATTGGTTGTGAACAGAGACCTGAGCTCTAAAAGGAAACAGATCCCTGGAACACTCTGGGCTCTGGAGGAGCCTCAGTTGCAGCTGCCTGAGCCTTCCCTGTTACCACGTTGTTTCTGAAGAAGGGAGGTGCTCTCTGGATTCACAGAATTGTTCACAAAATTGGTGGGAGGGTTGAGGCGTGGTGACGTGGTTTAGAGTAGCTCCCAATAACGGTCATAGTTGGCCGCCAGTATCTGGGTATTGCCTTGCTCCATTCGAAAACGTTCAGAGCTCAAATTATAGGTGGGGTCTTGGTGCACTAGGAGCTTGCTCCCTCACTGGCTATCGCTGCTTTGGAGCAGTCATGCCCCTCCCCCCTGTGGTCACAGCGGGGACTGCAGGAGTGAGCTTCTGGGAGGTGGGAGGGTGTAGGCCTCAGGACGTCTGTTGGCCATGATGTCTGACTCCCCTCCCCTCCCAGGACATGGAAAACAAAATCAGAAGTACGCTGAATGAGATCTACTTTGGAAAAACAAAGGACATCGTCAATGGGCTGAGGTAAATGTACCCACAAAGCACAAGTTTTGGATCCAGAAAGGTGTGGATTTGAATCCTGAGTGTACTGTTCAGTATCTGTGTGATCTTGAGCCTCAGTTTCCTCATGTGTGAAACAGGGCTAACATTCCCACCTTATAGTATTGATGCCAGATTAAGGAGATGAGAAAGGTGAAGTACCTCATGCATAGTTTCGCACTCTCAATACATGCTGCCTCCTGCACCACCATTTGAGTTTCCTGGAGCACACTGACCTGAGCAGCCATTGGTGCTCCCATCCCTGCAGTTGGCCTCCTCTCAGTCCCCCAGCTTCTCAGCCACATCAAAATAATCTGCCCAGCAGCCCCCTTGGCTCTGGGCCCCAAGGGTACTTCCAAACCAGACCCTGAGACACGGGAGGGAACACAGGCCACTGGATCCTCCGCCTGACCTAGCTCCAGGACAGCAGAATGTGTAATGCAGAAATGGTCCCCAGCCCCTCTGATGTCCTCTGCCAAGGTCCATGGTGGGCCAAGCAGGACGCCAGAGCCCAGTGGGAGCAAAGTGGGACAGCTCTGGGGTGAGCACCATCCTTGGAGTCAGGAGGTCAGGACCTCATCCAGGCTATCACTCTGGCCTGTGTAGCCTTGGACGAATCACTCCTTTCTGCTCCCCCCGTCCATTCGAGGAGGCAGGGCTGCTGAGGGAATTTGATGAGCTGATTAAGAGTCTGAAGCATCCTGCAGGCCTGCACTGCTGTGTGAGTGTGGGGTTTCTGCTCTGCCCTTGGTTTCCACTGTGTGGACCAGTCTTCTGGTGGGCAGAGGAGAGGCAGGAAGCCACCCAGCTTGGGAATTTGTCCTTGAGACAAATTTGGAGACATCTCCTCTATGATTTTAAAATAGAGGAGGGGTTCCCTTTGGACCCCTCACCTTCCCATTTCCTGCCTATCTCCTATGGGGAACTTGGTCTGGCCCCTGGTGGGTTGTATTTTCCCCTTCTGGCAGCATTCCTCTCCCGCTGTGGGGCCTTGCTTGGCCTCATATGTCATCTGTGCCCGGAGCTTCCTGGCCTGTGGCGGGGTCAGAGCCCTTGCTCACGGGTGCGAGGCCCCTGGGGCCACTGCACCCTCCACAACCGAACTCCACAGAGCCTCCGCTCTGGGGCTCTCCCACCAGTCCACCCTGCACAGCCCCAGCAAAGGCTGGGAGGTGGCTTTATCCACCTGCCTCAGGGGAGCAAAGCAGTGAGCCCCGAAAAGCAGAGTGGCCTCTCCAGCCCCAGCATCCACCCCTGGGCCCCCAAGTGGCAGGGGCCTTGATGACTTTCCTTTCTTTCTTCTGCCTCATTTGTTTCCCCTTCATCTCCTCTGCGGCTGTTATCCTGCCCTGTGTCCTCGATTCTCCTTCTCTCCCCTCCCGCCTCTCTCATTCTGAACACTCTCTGTAGATCTATTGACGCTATCCCTGACAACCAAAAGTTTAAGCAGTTGCAGAGGGAGCTTTCTCAAGTGCTGACCCAGCGCCAGATCTACATCCAGCCTGACAATTAAGCCGATCCAGGTACCCTGCCTGAGAGGCGTGAGCACCCTCCTCACTAAACAGGACTCACCAACCCGCTGAGACCGCGCTGGTCTGGCTGTTGCCACGCGGCCGCTTAAACCAGCACTAACCACGTGTCCTCTCACGGCTGCTAAGCAGCCACATTAACGTGTAGTCTCTGCCCCACGTAACAGGGAGACGTGTCACAGGTGTGTGTGTGCTTTGCACTGTGGGCGGAGGGTGGGTGTGGGGAAGACCAGGCTTTCGGCTCGTGCTCCTGAAGAAGCCCAGAGTGAGGAACTAATGTTGCCTCTGCGGCAAAAGCCACTTGTCTGCACTCATCCCATTGGCCAGCAGAGCAAGCGTCCTGGGAGCCCCCGCTTGCCCATGTGCTTCAGGGACCTTTCTGAATCTGGTGTATCTGCAGCTGATCCTGCCTTTAACTTTTCCCCGAGGATCCCAGAAGTCCAATAGCCCCCTTCTTAGTGGGAAATCGACTATTTGAGGCTAGCTGACTTAAAAGAGGTGGTGGACCCCCCTGAGCCTCTGAGGATGGAGTGCAGGATTGGTGATGCAGTCAGCCTGGATGGTCCTGGTACACCAGGCTGCCAGGGGTGCCCAGGGCCACTGCTCACCGGACCAGCAAAACCTCCCACCCCTAACGAGCTGCAGATGTCCTCTTAAACACGTCACACTGATGGAAAGGAAAATAGTCTTGCTTGTTGATAATGGCCAAGAACCATGACTTGAGTTTGTGGCAAATTCAGATTTATGAAAACAGTCAGCGTCCCCAGAGAGGAGGAGGGAAACTTAAAAAAATAATGCGTTCAGAAGCCCAGCTGGGTGGGGCCACAGAACCCAGGGCATTTGGGGGTTACCCCCCAGGTCCAGGTCTTACCCCGAAGGCCTGACCTAGAAGAGACTCAGGGTGGGTGGGGCCAGGGTGAGGGGCTCTGAGGTAACCAGGTGGAGCTGCTTTCCTGCGTTTCCCCAAGGGGATGCATCCCTGGGCTTTAGCAGGGTGGCCAGTCTGTGTGTGTGCCGACTTCAGATCCCGTCGTGGGGTGGAGAACCCCTCCCTTTTAGAGTGCTCCGTGGCAGTGCAGTCCTCTCCACCCTTAGCCTGGAGGGTGGGTCTGGCGTCTTCTGGATTGCCAGCCATGGCCAGTCCCTGGCCACCCACTGCATTCTGCAGAGACCCTCTCCAGCAGCAGGGCATTCCCGTCCTTTAAGGATGGGTCCTCCTTCCCACGCGCAGTGGAGTGCTTCTTCCAGGCACAGGTTGAGGTCACCTGCGGTGACCTTCCCAAGCTTTATCCCCTAAATGAGCCCCTGCTCCGTATGCTCCAGTTGTTCAAGCCTGACATCCCATCTCTTACCTGATTATGACTGGAACTTTCTCCTGTGTGGGGGCTGGGAGGTTGTGCACGGCCCAGGCCTGGGGTGCTCAGCTCCTCCTTCCCGGGAGAGCCATCACCTACCCAGGCCAGGACACCATGGACACGGGCTGCTGGGCCAGGGGCGAAGCCTCCAGGGTGAGCTTTGCAGACACCCGCGGTGGAGGAGCTGGGATTTGGAGCTGGAACGCCACCAGGCTGGTGTTCTGGCCCTGCCTGTGGCTGCCGCAGAGCCAGGGCAGGCCAGGCCCACCTGGTGAAGACCCTTGTGCCAGATACTCAGAAATGGATGTTTCAGCAGCAGCACCCAGAATACCAGTGTTTCTCATATGGGTTTATTAGTTACTTAGTAGTTTTTAGTTCTTTTGAAGTCTTACCTAGTGCACGTCTTACCAGGTTGAGTATGCGTGCTGTGATTTTTATAGGATTCAGTAGTCAGAATTTGTAGCACTCATTTTACTTTGCTCATTGTTGGCATTTTGGAGGGCTTTTTTTTTTTAACCTTCCCTCCCATTCTTCTTCCTGGTCAGCGTATCTCAGACTTGAGGTTCTCATTGTGTGTACCGTGTAAAGCGGTTCCCCCAGGTGTCCTGTCTTCTCACTGCTTTAAAACTACCATAAAGTTTATAAAAAGTTCAGGAAGTTTTTAACCAGCACAGTTGATAAATTTGACAAAATGATTTAGAGAATTGCCAGTGGCCACTTCTCTGAGCCTCAGTCACCTCATCTGTAAATTGGGAACAATACGAAGACTCTCCCAGGATGCTTGTGAGAATACATGTGTGAAAAGCAGTTTGTAAACTGTAAAATCTTTACAAACCTTAGTGGTTTTCTTAGCTTTGTTGAAGAGTGTTAACGCACACAAGTAGATGCAGTCACATCAGACTTTGCCCACAGCCCAGGCTGAAGGGTTTTCTTGGCCAGGTTAACATGATGCTGCCTTACAACAGGAGCCTGAGCCGCCGGCCTCGGTGTGCTGCCATGGGCAGAGGGCTGGGTCTGAGACACCGGCTGGGTGGGATACCTCTGCACCTTGGACTTGTAGGTGAGGCAGGAGCCTCTGCTGGACAGGGGTGGAGGGGGGAAGCTTTATAGAAGGGGCCTCATGGCCTGAGCCCTCGCCTCTCAGCCCTGGCCTGACTTCCCACTAGCTAGGGCTGCTTCCCAGCCAGAAACCTGAGGCAGCTGGTCTGACGCAGAGGGTCTTGGCTGCATTGTGCTCATAAGCCCATAAGCCGCCCCCTGGTGCCAGCTAACGGTGGGGCCTGTGCCCAGAGGAGTGGATTTAGGGTTCTGGTGGCTACGGGCAGGTCATCCCCAGCCTGTGCAGAGAAGAGTGTGTCTCATGCGGGTCACGGGCCTCCCTTGGGTGCCCAGCAAGGTGCTAAGGGTAGAGGTCTCTGGGCTTAGCGCCCCTCCTGCCCCCCTCCAGCATTGCTTGTGCTTTCAGAGAGGATCACCGATGCCCAGCCCGGCAACACAGACCCTCGGCTGGGAGGTGGAGCTCTCTGCAGCAGCTTGGAGCCGGCACCCGCCCAGCTGCCCCCAGCAGCCCCCAGCCCCTCTGAAACTGCCACACCTCTCCAGTGAGGCCTGCCACTCATGACTTTTTCCTCCCCTGCAGGTCTGTGCAGACTTTTGCAGACAAATCAAAACAAGAAGCTCTTAAGAATGACCTGGTGGAGGCTTTGAAGAGAAAGCAGCAGTGTTAAACCTCTGCTTCACGCTAACCGGACATGCCATGCACTCGTTAGATTCCTTTCTTAGAAAACTCGTTTTCTGCTCCCCTTTCCCTCGTTCCTCCCTCCCCAACAGGTCACATAACAACCTGCAACATCAGCTGCACAGCGCCATCTCTCCCTGAGAATAAAGCCCGAAAAACACCCTTGTTGTCTCTGAGGCCTACTTCCCACCACATTTTGCTGTTGAAACTCAGTATTTCCATAGACCCCGTGTTTTTTGTTCACCCCGACACCCTGCCCCCCGCGTTTCTCCCCTCCCCCCATTTATAGGCATAAAATACACTGTCTGCCTCCCCTCCCGCCTTTTTGTTACATGGGTGTAAAAAATGTAAAACAAAAAAATTTTATGAAATAACCGTGGTGTGTGAAAGAAGAAAAACTGGAAATCTGATTCCACGTGTGTTTGGGAGTTGCTTGGGGCTGGGGGTCGGGGGGACGGGACCGCTGTGGGAGGAAAGAGAGGCCACCCTCAGCATCGTACTGTGCAGACCGCCCCTGTCCCACGGAGACCACGTTTTGGGGATGGGGGTGGGGATCTGCTGACCGTTCTGCTCTTCTGGCCAGGTGCTTTTCTGTCAATTTTTATGGAATGCAAAGGAATTTTTTTGTTTTATTTTGTTTTTTTTGTAAAGCTTAAACAAACAAAAAAAAATCTACATCTTATACTTGAGCCTCCATACTTTAAAAAAAAAAAACAACCAAAAAAATAAAAAGCTGAACAGTAAGCATCGGCCTTGTGTTCTTGCCTACCTCACTCTCAGAGTGTTTGTGGTCTTGGCTGTGAGGGCCAACCCAAGGATGGGAATGTGGAGCGGGCCTCAGGCAGAGGGAGCGTGGGACCCGCACAGTGAGGAGAGAAGGGGGCCTTGCATAGCCCCGGAGCTGCGGCTCTCAACCAGCGTCCGCCCTGATGCCACTAGCAGTCTGAAAGTGTGTGTGAGAGGTGGATACTCCTGAGCCGTTGGCCTCTGTCCCCCCACGCTGCTGTGCTTCATCTTCTCAGGATGAGGGGGCCAGCCTGGGAAACACCTCCTGTGAGCAGATGTGTCCACATATCCTGTCTTCACCACAGACCTCAGCGGCAGCAGAGGGCAACTCGCACCTTCTGCAGATGTGAGGAAACTGAGGCTCAGAGGGTAGGGGTAACTTGCTGAAGGCCTCACAGAGCTGCAAAGTCCCTCCTCTCCAGCGGCCTCCAGAGGGATCTGAAGCAAGTTTCAGAGTCCTCGCCAACACCGTCCCTGTCACCAGACTTCTGGCCACCAGCTGCCCTGGGGCTGGTGCTGCGTGGAGGGTCAGGCCCACACCCTGGCTAACCCATCATCTGATGTGAGCTGCCCTGGCCTTGGCACCCCTGTCCCTGGCTCCTCCGTCCTGCCTTCTCTGTGCTTGGTCTGATGGGAGATTTCCCAGACGGGTTACACCTCCATTGAATGCAAGTTGCCATGGGAGATGATAGAAATAGAAGAAGCCCCTGCACTCAAGCTTCCTTTGTAGAACCAGGTGGGGAAAATTGGAATGCTGGAAAAATCGTTGGCCCCAGCTCTGGCACTTAAGGCAAACCCAGCGAGCCCAGCTCCTTAAATGTGAAACCAAGACTACTACAACCTTGGAGAGTGTGTGAGCACAGTGCTGCACATAGAAGGGGTTGAATTAATGAGTTTTCATTAGGTGTACAATTATGTGACCCAAATAACATTCGAAAGTGTGGCTCTACAGTGTATGCTGGACCTGATCTTACCTGTCTTCTGGAATCCTTGGGGGGTCACCATGATGGCCAGTTTTTTTATGCTAAGTCATACTGCTTGAGGCTGGGGCAGGTGTGTTGGGGACCACGACCCTAGTACTGGCTTGGTTGCATGAGGGGCAGGCAGAAGCAAGAAAGGAGTGCTCAGGGCCTGGCTCAGGACCACCTCTTGGTCCTCTGCTACCTCCTGGCCACTTCTTTCCCTACCCTCTCCTGGGCTGCCTCCTTGGGAGGGCCTTGGTGGCTGCAGGACCCCTCTGTGCATCCATTCCCAAGAAGGGAAGGAGGCAAGGAAGTGGCATAAAGGAGCTATGGGCTGCAGGTGACAGAGTATGTCCACAGGCCCAGTAGGTGCTTCCTGAAGGTGTCCCTTGGTGGCAAACACAATGGAGGCAGCTTGGGTGGGGTGGCAGGAGCCTACCTTCTGGCCTCATCTCTGCACGGTGGCTCAGCACCCCCGGGAGTAGGGGTGACCTGCATCGCCAGAAAGCTGAGAGCTCAAAAGGCGGGACCCATCTCTCCAAGGCTCTTTCCCTCCCCCTTTGCTGTTTCCCTGACAAACCAGCCCCCTGGGGACTTTCCCAGGTGCCTGGGTGGTGCAAAGATTTGTGGTTCACTACTTACCTAGAGGTTGGTGGTTCAAACCCACCCAGTGGTTCTACAGATGAAAGGCCTGGTGATCTGCTTCTATGAAGATTACAGCCAAGAAAACTATGGAGCGGTTCTGCTCTGTCTCATGGGACTGCCATGAGTCAGAATCAATAGCAAGTTCAGTTTGGTTTGGAGCCCTTCCCAAGGTCCTCTGGGGCCCCAGATTCCAAGACTCCCTGTCTCCAAAGTTTCCTCAATCACTCAGATCATTTACAATACGAAGCACCTGCTGTCTGGCAGGCCCTGGGCAGCGGCCTCCCCCAGTTGTGGGCCCCTCCACCATGGTGGGGTGCAGTAGGCACTATGGATGTGGTCTGCCGGACCCCTCTCCCTCCTCTTTTGGTACCACCTCCCCATCCACTCAGTGCAGCCTCGTGTGCAATGTAATCAGGGTGTTACCTCCCCACCCCTTTGTGTGACCCAAGCCAGGCCAATTATGGTGCTTTCTCCAGGGAATCCAGGAATCTGTGAGGCCTTGGGGCAGGCCACCTGTTCTTTCGTCCCCAAAGTCAGCCCCAGAACTGCTGAGGGTAGTGACCCCACCAGTTTGAACCCTCCTGGGGGCAGTGGAATGACGGCTTCAAGAGAAGGGACGAATCCAGGTTCAGATGAGCTTGGGCTGGACTGTCCTTGCCTCTTCCTTCAGACAGGCGGAAAGCCATGTCTCCTCTATCAAACTTAGGGCTCTTCCATCAGATTGGGGGCTTCCTAAGGTAAGAACCATAGCTCTCTCAGCAAATGGCGATGCCTGAAAACAAGAGCTCTCACCCCATCAGAGTGGGGCCCCCTGGGGAAAAGGGATTAATGTCTCCCCATCAGAAAGGCTTCCCGAGGTGTAGGGGCTGTTACTTCATCTCTCTGTTTCCCCACCCAGCCCCGGTTCAGGCCTGCAGGCTGGGGAGGGCTCCACCTGTTCCCAGGGAGCTGGCACCCAGTCAGGGCACAGCCCCAGATAGAGCGAGGCATCCAGGCCAACAGAGGGCACCCAAACCAGGCATTAGCCAGAGTTAGCAGGGGCCTGGGGCTCTGGGCCTTGTTATCCACACAGGGCCAGAGGTGAGCTGCTGCTTAGGATGCTGGGAAAGAGCCTCGCCACATGTGACCCCAGCAGGGGTTGGGTTGCTCCTGTGGCTGAGGGTCTGCACAGGCCACAAGCCCTGGCCAGGAAGGAAAAGGGGGCTTTGAGGGCTCCCAACTCTGACAGGTGTGGGATGGCCCCTGTGGCTGAGGGACCTGTTGTTAGTTGCCATTGTGTCGATCCCAACTTATGGTGACCCCATGTGTGCAGAGTAAAATTGTGCTCCACAGGGTCTTCAAGGCTGTGAACTTTCGGAAGCAGATCGCCAGGCCTTTCTTCTGAGGTGGCTTTGAGCACTTAACCATTTGTGCCACACAGCCGCCGAGGGACTGCCACTCCTGGCTGCGTGACCTTGGGCAAAGTGCTTAGTTCCTCTAAGCCTGCTTCCCATCTGTAAAATGGCTGTCATGATTGTACCTGCCTGAGAGGACACTGGGAGGATGAATAAGATCGTGCACACCACAGCCTAGCACACAGCAAGTGCTCAATAAACGTCAGCTGCACGGCAGGTGGCACACTGGGGTCCGTAAGCGTTCCCAAGGAGGACGGGGTTGGGGTAGACAGGCCCTACTTGCCCTGACTGCCTACATGAATCTCAGAGGTGCCCCTTCCCTGATCTCCCCAGCCCCAATCCCCCTCCTCCTCCTCACCAGCAACCAGAGGGCTCTTCCCCCAGCTAGGCCCAGCTGGCCCTGCCACAAGACCTTGTCCTCAGGTGTCAGCCTGGCTTTCCAGGCTCTTCATAATGGGCCCCCACCTTGATCTCCAGCCTAGCTCCTTACCCACCCCTCCAGTCTCGAGCTTCACCAAACCCAGACTCCCACCTCCAAGCCTCTGCACACACCGGTCCCTTTTTCAAAATTGCCCTTCCCCTCTGCCTCAAGATTCACTGAGATCACCGATTTTCTGATTGATTCTCTGGGGCTTGTGTTGTCTCCTCAATCCTGCAGCACTCTGTACCTTCTAGTTACAGCTCTTAGCAACAGGGCCCAGCAACCCCCCTCCCTCCTTGAGGGCAGAGACCAGATCTAGTCCACACTGTACCCCAGATGCCCAACATGGGGTGGGCGTGAGCATGGACAGCAGTGCTCAGCAACTATTCGTGGCATCAAGCTGGGCTCTGGCACCCCTTTGCGGGAAAGGCAGCAGCCCTACTGCCAGGCTCCTTTCACTGGCACCTGGAGGTCTGGGATCCCTCTGCCTGACTCTGGACCCAGGCTGGGGCATGTGAAGGTGAGGTCAGGCAGGGAGGGGAGCTGCCCCTGTGGCCTAGGTACTCACAGGACCATGGCTTACAGGAAGGTGGAAAGGAACGGGCCTGGGCAACAAACTGAGGTTGGGTCAGGAAGGAGAGCTCAGGTCTAAGCAGGCCTGCATACCTCTCCATCCTGTGTCCTGCTCTTGTACCTCCTCTTCCTCCAGCCCACACAACACTCCCCATCTTCTTCCCTGTTATCTCCCACCCGTCCTTTGGCCTGTCACCTTCTCCAGGAAGGTCTCCCTGATCTTCAGTTGCTCATGGCACTTTATCTTACTATACCGTCCCTATCATTAGACAGAACAAGGCCAGGGGCTGACTGCAGAACAGACCATCAATTGCTCATATGCAAGTTCAAGTTGAAGCTGAAGAAAATTAGAACAAGTCCACGAGAGCCAAAGTATAACCT